CAATTCAAGTGTGTTTTAGTTTGATAAGACACAAAATTAAGGAAAATAATGAAGATATTTCAAATTGTGTAGTCTTAATTAAACTATAGATATATGTAATGTATCAAAGTTTTTTTTTAAAAAAACTTGTAATCTTGAATCTTAATATGTTCAGATTACACAAAATAAAAAAAATAAAGAAATATTCTTCGTTTAAATATAGACAGTAAGATATTTAAATTAAAATTGAGAGAATATTTAAACTCCATTACTCCCTTCATCTCATGAATTTGTGTGACATTATTTGACAAAATTTAAGAAAGAAGATTTTTTGTAAAAAAAAGTTCATCGTCTAAACAAAATTTAAATTAAATTACTTATTTTTTAATCATATTTTTTTTTAAGGGTAAATCTAAAATTTATATCTCACATTAACTGAGGCTGAAAAAGTATATATTTATGATCTAGAAAAAATAATAATTAATGTGATATATAGCTAAGATTATGAGTACTTACACAAATAAGTTTAAAATATCTCGTCCAAAAGTAGCTGAATCTAGTATCCTTCTCCAACCTAAAACGCAAGGGAAGAAAAATTAGTTGATTGGTGTTTGCTTGCTTGCGCGTTATTAATTAAGTTGGTCAAACTGATTTATAAGTATTTTCAACTCATTCGATAAAAGTCAATAACTTGTTTTTCAACTATTTATAAGTAAAATCAGAAGTTAGTCATCAAATTGTGTCACGTGAAACTTATTTTAATAAAAATAAAAATTTCATAACCGAATTTATCAATTTAAATTGTGTCACATAAATAAAAGAAATATACCTCGAGAAGAATTTACTAACACGGCGGAGTCGCCATAATCTTAACAAGTTAAGGAAGCCAAATACTTGTCCTCTACTAGTTTTGCCAGTGACAACTCTGTATATGGCTTGAAATGGTAGAGTTGAAGCTACATCCATTGGAAACCATAGATGTGTGACATACCTTTACAAACAAAAGAAAAATAATGAAATTAATTGTATTCTCCATATTGGCAAAAAGTAGTGGTGTACTGTGCACGTGACCGGGTTAGTTCGGATTTTTCAAATATCAAATCAAATTATTTGTGTCAATTTTTAAATGTATAAACCAAATCAAACCAATAAAATTTGAATTTTTTGGATTTTTCGAGTTCTTTTACGATAAAGTATTCATACAAACATATCAGTTATTTGTACTTCAAATATTTCTTTAAATTTATCAAAATACAACTATATAAGGTGTATCTTAAGAAAATAATATAAAATATGATATAATTAACGACACTAAAATATCCAACAAAAAAATAATAATGATATCACGTAAAACAAATGTTGCAAATGAACAAGTTATAATGAAAATGGTAATTATTTAAAAGTACTAAAAAAATATTAAACAAGTTTAATAAGTATTAGTTACATGAAATATACAATTCTTAGTATCAATAGGGGTACGTATACCGTCAAACATTTCAATAATAATAACATTTGTCTCGATAACTTTTAGTTATTAACGCGAATACTATTATATGAAATATATAATTCTCCTTTCTCAATTTATATAATTCATTTTTCTTTTAATTAGTCAATCCCAAGAAAATCGACACATATCTATCATTTGTTTCAGACCACAAATTTCAAAACTGGTACTTTCTTAAAATTTGTGTGAAGACAAACTACAACATACTAAAATTGGAACATAACATGAACATACGTTTTGAAGAAAATTTGATCGTTATAATGAAGCATTATTTTTAAATTGACTGTTATAGAAAGATGTGACGTACCTTAAAGCAATTTTCTTGTGTTCTTCAACAAGTAAGTAAGTAGATTTGTCCAAGTATGCAACAAAGAAAGTGAGTATAATGTCAATAGCAAAGAAGGCATCAACCACTAAATCAACAGGCAAGAGTGCTCCAGTAGATGCCTTGCTGAATGCTAACTCAAAGGGAGATGACCATGCTGAGTACACCACTAGTACAACAAGAAATGCTTGCCACAATCTACATTTGCCAAAGGTTCAAAAAAATAAGAATAATATTTTTTGTTATAATAGAATGACTTCGTCTGTTTTAATTCATGTGAACTTACTTCTTTTCGTGAAAAATAAAACATATATGTGTTTAATATATGCAAATAATATGGGAGGTGAAGTTTGGGTAATGAGGATAGGGCTATGCGGGTGGGAGAAGATAATCAATGTGAAACGATTATGAGGAAGTTATTTATTTATTAAAAAATTATTTTTCTAGAAAAAATATTTTTCAAAAGTTTATATTTTCTTCTGTCATTTCATTTACCCACGGTTAATTTATTATAATAAAAATAATTTTTAGCGATAATTTATTGACATAATAATAAAGAGTGATAGTATCTTTAACGACATTAGTTAAGTGTCGTTAGATCTAATGTCGCTAACGTCTTTAGAAACATATACAAAAAGTATTAATTGTTACTAAAATACATATTTAGCGCCACTAAAGCTATTTTTGATGTAATAATTTTAGTTTTATTTTGATTCATCATCGTGGTGAACGGAAAAGTAAGAGCTGCCTGCGTACGTTAGTGGAAAAATGAATATGGATATTTAATGACGAGAATTCAATAAAGATAAAAATTGTACTAATAATTACAAAAAATTGTAATGTTAAGAATTAATTCTGCTTTGGGAAAGTAAAAGACCTTTTTTTCCTACCAAAAAAAGAATCTTTCACTATAGTAGAAAGAAAACAAGTGGGAGTGAGTCGAGCGAAAGCAAATTAATTTTTAATGATGAATTATTTTTACGATTTTATTTTAGACATAAAAAGAAGAATAACAATGCTAGGTTAAGTCATAAATATTGAGTTTACACGAACCAAGCTAAAAAAAATATATATATTTATATGGTGTCGTCCTAAAAAAAATAATTAGATGCACAAATAGAAAAAAAATAGATTAGAATAATTGTGATCTCTCAAGTTCCAAAAATATAAACGTCAATAAGAAGTAAGTTTTGTCCCTTGAATCAATATTGTCAAAAGACTCCATGAGATCCATTGAACATGGTTTTTATAATCAACATAAAGTCAAAGCTCTACTCACTATTAAGCTTCATTGAAGTCCCTTAAATTTAGGGTAATCATGTTACAAATTCTTCCTCCGTCCGGTATTATTTATCATGATTTTTATTTTTAGAGTTAAACTATAAAAATTTTGATTAATATTTTAAGATATATTTTTTTTATCATATTAATATACAAAAAATTATAATTTATAGTACTTTTTATATAGTTTTAGAATATCTAATTTTTTTGTTTAAAATATCAAATTAATGTGATTTAATTTATCTTTGAAAATTAGTTAAATTAACTTTAGATAAATGCAACATGACAAACAATTCTAGATAAAGAAAGTAGTAATAACACTTCATTTCATTCGATATTCAATATTTAACGAGACTGGGTTAAATTTTCATTTTATGTCGATTAAGTTTTAAATAAATAAATTTGTATTCAGTAGATTAGTTTTAACTTCTAACTACCACTCGTAAAAGTCAATGGTGTCATGTGTCATTGGAAATTAAAAAATTATCATCTTACATAATTTCTTAGCTAAACAACAAATTAGAAAGTATCACACTTTGTGATTTGAATTTATAATATAAATCTTATTTTTCACTCTATTTACAAGTATAATTTTCCTCTTTTTAAAACTTGCTATGATGATACGATGTTCATACTTGCAAAGAAATCTGCATATATGAATAGTCCTCTGTTTCGATTTATTTGACGATTTTTTATTTTAAGTTAATTGGCAAAAAAATGACACTTGGTTATTAAATCGATCGACTTTAAATTTTATATTTCATTTTTAATAAAATGATTTATTGCTATAGAAATTTCTCAAGCTTATTTTAAATTATTTTATAAAAATATTATTTTCTTAAATATTATGCTCAATCAAATACAACTTCACGTAAAATTAAGATATCAAAATCTCTCCATTTTAATTTATTAAAGTTACTTATACTTTCAATCGGTTTAAAAAAATAATATTATTCTTTATATCTAGTAATCATTTACACCCAATATCATATAAAGAAAACAAATCACTGACCATCAGATTCAAATACTTTTTTAATATTATTTAGTTTAAGTTCATAAAAGTCAAAAAATTTCTTTATTTTTCTTAAATTTTATATCGAAAAATAAAAAGATAAAAAATAAAATAAATATACTGAAATTTTTCTTCTTGATTCAAATTTTCCGTTGATTAAAAATATTTCGAAGATAATAAGTATTAGCTGATCGATAAATAATTTCGATAGGAAGGAAGTAAATTATTTACCTGTATCTACGATCATACGGAGCAATAAGAAATCTCTTAAGCCTAACTGAGCTTTCACCCATCACTGTTCCAAAAGCTGGCAATAAGCTACTTGAAAGTGAAGCTAAATTTCTGATTTCGCCACTCGAATGTCGTCGGAATAACAGCGGCATCGGAGACCTCGTCTCCGATAACGGCATCGGAGATCGAGTCGTCTCCGACATTTTTTTTAGCTAAGAAGATAGAGAGAAGAAGGGATTTTGAGAGGTTAAGTTTGTTGAGGATATGCAAGAGACTTGATTTTAGTTGTTATATGTATGTGTGACCTCAGGTGCGGAGTTAGTAGTCTGCTTATAAATTCGAATGAACTTAATAGATTTTATGGGTATATTAATAAAAAAAATTATTAAGATATATTAAAAAATATTATATATAAATTTTAGTTATTATATATTATTTAAAATCATTATTATAAAATTCAAAATAAAGTTGAATTTAGGAGAATTGTATGACATGTTGAGGTAAGGGAAAGTTGTGTTAAGCATCATCATGTAGACTAATAATATTATAAAATGCAGATAACTTAGTTATTATTATAGCTAGAGAGAGAAAAGAGTTGACATTCACTTATATAAACAATAAAATATATATAAACATTATCTTTGATCTATAATTGAACTATATCTCTATACTAGAAAAGTTGACAAGTCCAAAAAAGGAAGAAAATATATGTATATATATATATGTCTGAATTATTAGGTGTTTGATGATATTTATATAGAAAAAAATACATTACAGTTTAGATTAAAATTCATAAAAACGTGATACTTTTAGATAAGTTATTTTTAATCATTTCTTTAAGGAAATAAATAAAAATCTCACTATATTCACTATATATAGATCTAATTAGTGTGTAAACAATACTTCAAGCTAATATACATCTTCTTGGTTAACATTCAACATTCTAGGCCTTTATATCCATCATGAAAAGTGTGACACCTTTAATAAAAAAGTTACATTTTCTTTTTATGTTAGGCAATACTTTCTTGGATGTGATCTAAATTAACGTAAATTTTGGCCTTAGGCTATGCTTTTCATGTGTTTTTTTCGTCTTAGATGTCATGCTTTTAAAAAAGGTACAAATTAGATCACACTTCTAGCACCTCATAATATATAACAACGCTTTTAATGACTTCTACTTGCAACTTTTTAAAGTACATGATTTATAATAAGCTACACTTTCAAAGCATGTCAATTGGCTTGTTGAATTGGTCTAGCTTACGATTATATATGATCCCTCCGTCTCAAGTTGATTGTTTAGTCTTAACATGATACGGAGTTTTACAAAAAAAAAAAAATCTCAAATTGACAAAAAGTTTATTAGAATATTTTTTAATCTTATATAATCTCAAATACGTCATGTGCATTCATAATTTGTCTTTTAAAACGGAGATTATTTTTTACAATAAAATAATAAATTAATAGGAAAAAAATATTTGAAAAATACTTCAAATTTGAGCGAAATTACTGTAACGATACCAAACTTTGTGGAGGACCTTTTACTCCCTCCCCCCCCCCTCCCCTGCACTCACACTATTCAATTGTATATTTTAAAGGTATATATACATCCACATGGACACATTACTATTTATAATGATGCAATATTCATGATAGCTCATGTAAGCACATATTTATTTTATTTTATTATATATGGACATATATATATGTCTTCGAAATACACTATTAAATAATAATAAAAAAATCTTTTCAAAATTTAATATTATTATAATAATTTCAATTAAAATTTAAATATTTTTTTCCCTAATTAATAAAAGAGATCTATCGTATAGGAGTAAAATATCACACTAAGAGAGTCAAAAAGACAAAAACATTACAACACATGAAGTGTCCCTAGCTAGTAAAAGACGACACTTTTTGTGCATGCATCCAAATCTTAATCAATTATAATATTTGGTAGAGTCGTTGAATTCATGTAATTTGGCTTTTCAAAATCAACACTGACAATATTAATATAAAATATAAATAATTTGTATTTTGGAGTCATGTGATGTAGAATAAATGCACCCCCTTAAGACTACTTTATTTTATTTAATCCCAAGGGTCGGTGAGGCGGTGATGCAAAATTCGAGTCCAAAAATCACCTTAAACATGAAAAAATAAACATGTAAATCTTAACATGATATCGATATGTGCATAAATATTCGTTATTTCATTTATATGGGACTGATTATTAATAACATTTTATTCAATTAAATAATATTAATACATGAACTCTTTATAAAGATTCAAAGAAAGTCTCAAGTCTCAACTAGGAGTATTCAATTAAATAATATAATACATTAACTCTTTATAAAGATTCAAAGAAAGTCTCAACTAGGAGTCCGAATAAGTTAAATTACGATTTTACTCTTTTTTAAAGCCTCTGTACGACCTTAGTCCAATCAAATATGAAATCTAGGCGAGTAATGAATCTCTAAGCATTTATATTGTTATAAAAATAAACGAAAATATTTTATTCAAATTAAATGTTATAGTCAATAGGAGAATTTTTGCAGGCTACTATTCCGGATCTTCATGATACGAGGCTTCCTGTGGAGATTGTAATATTGTTGATTGTATCTGAGCGGATCCTCTTACTCTTATTTACGATTTTGTTCTACTTTAATAACGTCATTTTGAAACTTGTGTTTTTCTTTCAAATGTATTGTAATGCATTAGAGACATGTACACGTGATAATCAAGTTTTGAAGTTGTATTTAAGTTAATTATGAATTTCTGCATTAATTTATAGCATTAGACATTTATTCTCGCTTTAATTTCGAACTTATCGTTATATTTGAATTTTAATTTGACTTGTCTCTACTGAATAAGACGAGTGTCATGACACTCATTTTTGAAACATATGAAGTCAAAATACCGTAAGTCAACCCACAATTTTTTTTTTTGAAATAAATCTACCATTAATCTTAAATTAAATATATTTTAGAAAAGTAAATTTAGCATTCACATAGAAAAGTTAATAAATAAAAATAAAATTAAAAATTACACCTTTTGGAAATATATGAACATATATATAGCAACAATCTAGAATTAGTAACGAGAATTAGGTGACAAACTTTAACAGAATCTCTATTCTGTCACTGATAAAATTTAGATTTGTTTTAAAAAATTATTTCACGAGTAATCCATCATAATTTGAAAATGATTTAGTGATGGCCTCTGCTGGTGGTAGCCTGAATCTTGAGAGGAATTAAAAGACTACTGATGTAGTGAGATTATAGAGAAAAAGTAAATATATTGTTGAGTAATTAGAAGTAAGAAAATGAAAGAAGAAATAGTTCAATTTATAGGACTTTTAAAAAACATTGTGGAGATTAATACAATATAGAATTGTGATTAGATGGAAGGAACTTAATAGCAAATGGAGTTTTTAGGGAAAAGTTAATTTACTTACCTTTAATTTAAGGGTAACTTTCATATATAAATAAATATAAAATTTATATTCGTATGATATAGCAAAGTTTGTATAATTGTGTTTCATAGCAAACATATATGTATAATTCGCTATACATGTACAATTAAAGCGAACTGTATAAAACGAGAAAGAGAAAGAGACTTTGACAGAGAATTATATAAAACGAAGTGTATAAAACTAATTGTATAATTATAAGTATATATGACAATTATATACAATTTGAATTTGTATAAAATGAGAAAGAGAGAAAGGCAAAAAGACTTGAGCAGGAAATATAAAATTGAATTGAATTGTATAAAACGAGAAAAAGAGAAATTATATATAATCTGAATTTGTATAAACGAAAAAGAGAGAGAGAGAGGCAAAAGAGACTTGGGCAGATGAGTACTTTTATTGTATAATTTTAAGTGTATAGAATAAAAATATATGTATTTGCATATGTATATACAATTTTCTCTCGCTTTATATAATTGAAAACACAATTTATACAATTATATTTATTGTATAAAGCGAGAGAGGCAAGCGACAGGAAGCGAGCGAGAGAGGGAGAGTAGCGAGCTAGAATATGAGGGAGAGAGACTGAAAAAATTTGCTATGAAACACAAATAAATTAAATAATAATTATTATATTTATTTTATATTATTAATTTGTCATTTTATATAATTATCCAGTAATTTAAGTCGCAATAAAGGTGGGCTAGAATTAGAAAGAAGATAACTTTTTGACTTAATATGATGTGGTCTTCTTGAATTTTTTTAAAATTACTAACTTTTAAGATGTTACAATTTGGAGTTCCTGGAGCAATTTTTTTTTCTCAAAAACTCCATATTGCAATATCTTAAAGGTAAAAGTAAATTTTTTTTCTTTCAAAAACTCCGAATTGCAATATCTTAAAGGTAAGAAAATATTATTTATTTTTTACATGAACTCCACTTGTAATAAGAGTGGGTTAGAATTAGAAAGATGATAACTTTGTGACTTAAATAATCCAATATAAATTATGAGAACATGAGTTAAAATTGAGTTCAAAGATTAAAATATATTTGTAAAAATTAGACAAATCACATGGTCTAAGCGATAAATTACTTTCTATCCCTTCTCTTTCACTCTTTACCAAAAATTTCTTTTTTATAGTATTTTGGATATATAGTATTACAGAACGATATTTAAATTAAAGCGGGTGGATACTTTAATTTTTTATTTGTTGTTATCAGTTACATGGTAAAAAAAAGCATTAAATTAATTCCACAAATTATGCGAACGTTTAACAAATTTAGCATCCAGTCTGCTTAAACCTCTAACGATTTCAGCAAATTAAAATTTTAAATTGTGATAAAGATTAAATTTGTTATTACTGTATACAATAAAGTATCATAATGTGATACATTTTTTAATTTTTTATCAAAATGTAGAATGATACTTAATATATCGAATTTCATTGTTTAATATCACGTGTAATTATACTAAGCTATATTGATAAGTTATTTAATCTCATTTACATTAAAAGTCAAATATATTATGTATCTGACAACAAACTTTTGTTGGTTATTATGATTTTAATCAAACTTATATAATTCAACGTGGTAAACGATACTAATATATTAAGTAAATTATTTTGTATCAATTGTCACATATACACAGAAGATAATATGATGTGTATTAAATACCTCATAATTTATGAATATTGTGTATTTGATGATAATATAGTATCACACGTTGTGATTTACTTCAAGAGTACCACATGTTAATGTATACTATTTAAATTGATAATCAGTTTGTTTAACATGTGTATAAAATATATTATCAGATATTCTATGTACAATTGTTATATTGTATCATCAGTATTTCGTGTAAATCATACTT